TGCTAGAAATAATCATGTCTGGTTATTATTATTACTAGTATTATATATTATATATCAAGGATGTTATTTTAAAAAGTAAAATAGGATGCTGAATGTCTTAAATAAGTCCTTTACTTATATTTACCTTTAAGATTTCATTTTTTTCTGTGTATCTAAATAAATTACAAAGATCTTATCAAATTAACAAAGCTGCTGAAATTGTTTTTACCTGTAAAATTTATTTTGGAAATAAAAAAATGAAAGAAGCACTTGCTTTTCATTTGACTTGTGTTGCATATTTATAAGAGATTAGTTTCTTTTCTATGAGGACTTGACTTAAATCACAGTTTGACTGAGATTTGTCCCCTATGACTTAAATAATAAAATGAAACAAATTGAAAGATAAAAGACTTTTAAATTCAAAGATACTAATTACAGAGTTACTTTTTACATGTGAATATTCCCAAAGTGAAGACTCATAATTTAATCCAGCTTTACTTGGATGGTAGCTAAACAGAAGCAAGGAAAATAAATGCATAATACTGAAATTATTATACATGAAAGAAAAATATCCATAATTTACATGTACGTATAATCCAGCGTATATAAACTATATACATGTATATACAATGTATATACATATATAATAGTACTGTATTTATATACACACACACATGATTGCCCAATTACACATGTGTTATTGCTCCTATTTAAAAAGGCATATAGTATATTTGTTAAGCAGAATACTTATATAGTAAAATTTGTGATAGTTATTTATGTTATGTTTACCTGAATTTTCACAGTTGAAAATTTTGAGCTAAACATGTTAGAAATGCCTAAGCTCAGACTTCCCTGGAGATCCAGTGGTTAAGACTCTACACTTCGACTGCAGGGGGCACAGGTTCCATCCCTAGTCAGGGAAGTTCCGCATGCCGCATGGTGCGGCGAAAAGGAAAAAAAAGAAAAGAAAATGTTTAAGCTCAAATTCAACTTGCTCAAGTCAGTTAAGCTGAAATCTTCTTATAGTCATTTCCTCTTTATTATCTTAACTCATTACAGTCATATGTCTTATGTTTTATGGAGCATCTTGCTAATGATTCCTTTGTCATAGCCATTTTACAAAAAAAATACATTTATTGGCTTAGACAGCATAATTGCAAAAGGTTAGGACTGTATGAGCAATGAATTTATACCAAATGGATCAAAATAATGTGTTACAATGGTCAAAGAAAAGTTATGTTCTGTGATTGCATTATCAATTTTCAAACTTCTAAACACAACTATTCTTTGTAGATAGCAAGAATTTAAAAATAGGATTCCTAGATAAGGGGAAAAAAAACTTTTAAAGCTCAGTAAACTTTTTCCTTGTGATCTCTTTTTCTAAACTTTTATTTAATATATGGTGGTCATTATTCTTACATTTTTTAGTATTTTGCAATTAGATGAAATAATACTTTTTAAGTAAAAACCTAAAAGTATTCACATAATAATACTGTATAGAAAAATAATGTGTTAAAACTAGTAGTGAGTCAAACTAACATTTCACTTTCAAGTATTTTCTACTCACCATCTCATAGTTAAAGGGATAGAACAATGCATGTTATTACTGTCAAATATTGTTATTATAATTTGTACTAAAACAGCAAAGAATATAAGCAGATATTAGTCAGATCTGGGACTGCTTCAGTCTAACTGACCATCACTATGAAGTGAATTAATAATCTATCTTTTAAAAAAAATAATCATTTTACTGCAGCAAAAACATAGAACAAATCCTAATCATGGGACCTATGTTAATACCCATGGTACTTGAAGAAAATGTATCTGTTATCATAAATTGAAGCTAACTTAACTATTTTTAATGCACAGGTAAAATAAGTGGCTTTGCCAAGAGGATAGAAAACTCCATGGAAGCAAAATATTATCTCTTTTGATACAAAATTTCTTTCTCATATAAATTTATTTTCATTAAATAAATTTATTCTTAATTCAAGGATAAAATTTATACCTATATTTAAGACAAGACAGTTTTACTTTCTGTATTTAATAAATAAAATATAAACATTATAATTATCAAGTTATAATTTGATATGGTTTATGGACACTTTTCAAATGTTGAAAGATCTGGTATTGTTAGGGATTGTACTATAGTCTGATTTGTATAATATGTCATGTTATGATTGTATGCATAGTTGTTAAGGAAATGATGATAATGTTAGAAGTATCTTGCTTTGCACATGCTTTCTGCTAATCATCAAAACATTTGATTAGGAGGAATGGGGACATGATAAATACCTAGTCTAGAGAGATTTCATAAATCTGATAGTAAGCCACTTAAAGGTTAATACTAACTTTCTGTGCCTTAAAAAAAAAAAAAAACTTCAGGTAAAGGATGAAGAGATGATTAGAAAGAGCAAGGAAGGTGAGATAACTTTGAAAAAGATAAGTTCTGAGAAAGTGAAAAAAAAAAAAGAAACAAAGAATGACAGCTGTGTAACAGTGGACCTGATCCTCTTGCATAAGAAGAGCTGTATTTCAATATTGTATATAGAGAAACAGTGAATTATGCCCATGGGCTTTGCATCATCTGAACTAATTCCAAAATATACTTCAAATAATGGAGGAGGAAAGTTTTAGGTATAATGTACCAAATACAAGGTAGTCCTGAAAAGCTGCATTTTACATTGATATACCTGTGTTTTTTATTTTATGCATATCTATGATACTACTCATATATAATTAATCAAGAAATATACAAATATGTTATTCTAAACATTCATGGGGCTTTTTTAAATACAGTGCCTTAGTTTTGTATCAGTTATGGAGCTTTAGAAGCCACTAGTCTTCTTTTTTATGGAAAAAAAAAAGTGATGTAAGGCATCAGGGCCTGCAGTGAATTACATTCAAAGCATAATGATAATTTCTACTAAGGGCAGCTGGAGGAAACAGCGGCGGAGAAGGCGGCCTCACGCACAGCGCTGCAGCTGCGGGGTCTGTGACTCTCCGCAGCTCTGCTGACCTCTAGTGGCCGAATGAGATAAATGCCTGTCTCAAAGCGCTGATTTCCTGGTATCACTTTAGTTTCCTTCACAAACAAGATGCTGGCACCTTAAAAATACGATTTTCTTTGGTTTCGCTCACATGTAAATGAATCATAAATTATTGTCAAATTAATTTTGCAACATCATTTCAGTGTCATACAGAAAGATAAACTCATTCAGCATCCTGTCTTAGTTCAAGCATTTTTGGGGTTGGTTGCAGTAAGTGGTTGATAAAAGCAAGAGCTAAAATATAACAATGACAGCTTTCAGAGATAAGAGAATGCTGACAGTCAAATTGGCTCCCAGGCCTTATATTTTGATTGGCTGGGTGTGTGTGTGTGTGTGTGTGTGTGTATGTAAGTAATTTTAGTGCATATTTTTAAAAAGTATAGCAAATTCACTTTTCCTTTAAGTTTTTAACTATCATACGATTCATGGATTCTTGATGACTGTCTTCTAATTAATCCTGTACTTCTTAACAACATATTTACAGTTTCTCCCAATTGCATCCTGCCTAGGAAAAATAATACAAATCATTGGAGTACTAAGTTTGAAATTCATAATTCGAGAGAAAGAAGTGAACTATATATTGATAAATCACATTTTTTTTATGTCCCATTTGTATCCTAGTGTGTGGAATGGGTGTGGTGAGTTACAAGATTTATTAACATCACAGTGCATCAATTTGTTAATAAACTAGCTTTTTGTATAAGAAGTAAAAGAAAGATTTTTTTAAAAAAATGGGAGCATGAAAGGCATGGCATAGCTGGAGTTTAAAGTTCAAGCTTTGTATCCTCTATATATAATGTATTATGTTTTTCAAAAACTTTTTATTAGGAAAGCTATACCAGACGCATAATCACTATACAATGATTAAACATTACCTTTACAATTTATAATCACTGAAATTACAGAATAAATATATGCACATTTCTTTTGAATCTTTGTGTGTGAGAGAGAAAACATTAAAAGTGCTTCCTACAAAGCTGTTAGTGATATACCCAGTTGCTTTTTATGTTTTTGATATTATATATATATAAGAAAGTGCAGATGTTCTCCAAAAAATCTTGGCATCAGGATGAAGTGTCACAAAGAAGGTGCTCATCCCTAGGTGAGTGCCTCCAGCCGTTAAACCACCAGGCCTCCACTTCAGTAGGCTCCAGCCTAGAAGATGACTTTTCCAGGGTGGTAGGAGAGATGTTTTGAGCTGTACACTAGGGGAGAAAGGAAGTTTAGGAATGGATCAAACCCGAACTAATTAGATTGGGTTGAATGGATGATGGGTATGTGTGTGTATGTATGTGTGCATGTGTGTACCTACACCAGAAGGAAGAAACTGCAGGTTTAGGGACCTAACTATGTGCAGGGATTTGTGATATGCATGTGGGTATGTGTGTGAAAGAAAAACGAGTGGGTGAGAACATTCCAGCAAAGCCCGCCCCCTCCCTCCCCGTCTTGCAGTTTCCAGGCATGCAGCAAACTGCATTGTTAATACATGTACAGAATCTGTGCCATGATGGGAAGAGGAACGAAAACCACAAATGTCAATCTGTTTCCCCCCCTCCCTGTCAAAACAAACCTACAACTGAAAAAAAAAATTACTGAAAATAAAAAGACACATTGAATTTTACTTAATTAGGATCAATACAGTGATCCCCAATATACCTTATACATGGCACAGTCAAAGTCTCAAGTTTCAGTATAAAAAAATAATGATAACATTTGCTGGCAAAAGTCTGCGAAGGCACTTCATTGATTAATGATCTGTGTATGGCCCTTCCTCCAAATCACATCTGAGTGGGGAGAGCATACATCTGTATTTTCTAGTTATCATGCGGTTTCAGTTCTGTTCAGGGCAGGGAAGTTTGTGAGGATGGAGTTATTGGGACAAGTGTAACGGGAGCGAGGAATATGTTTCTTTTATTTTTCTTTTCTTTTGGAAAAAAAAAAAAAAGCACTAATGTATTTTTTCTTTTTCTGTTAGAACCTATATGTTGTCTTCTCCAGGACTTCGAGGTAATCCGGCTTGGTTTGAAGTTTGGCCCTTAACTCGAGGTAATCACTTTTTTGCGTTTGGTGGTCTGTGAAGCCCTTTCCAGCCGAGAAGAGAAGGGTTTCCTTGAGCCTGGCGTCCTGCTGTAAGTCTGGGTACTGCATGCCAGGGGGATGGACATGCAATTCCTTTAACTTGGGCACTGTGCCGTAGAGGCAGTCCGCGAACCCCACCGTACAGGGGGCTGGCTGTGGCCTCTCTCGGTCTAGCAGCATACTGCTGCCGCCACAACCTCCCCCGGGAGGAAACAGCACCACCCCGCCATTCTCGTGGTGGCGGAACCCAACCAAGTCTCCCCCAGTTCCCGCAACGACCCCGGAAACCCCACCGACTGCTGCGTGGTGAGGGTGAGGATGATGATGATTCATGGTCACTATGGTATTGAGCTGGGAGCTGGACACTGCCAGCGCCCACTCCTTTTCTTTTTCTAGCAAGGTCCGGTAGTTGCTGTGGTTCTCCTTGGGTGTCTCAGCAAACTGCTCACTTCCTAGGAGAACCTCCCCCATTCCCGGGGGTTGTGTTGCAGGAACCCCACGTTCTGCACCCCCTGCCTCTGGCCCGGATGAAACAGCCACCTCCTCCTCCTCGCGAGGCTTGTAGATGGGGTTGTTGCACATCTGAGTAACGGGATGAGGAATGTACTCGTATACGTGACCCACAGGAGGGGCCTTCTCTGGAGAGGAAAGAGTTGGTCGGCCCCCACCTGCATTTCCACCTCCACCACCTCCACCATCCTCAAAAAGTCGGTGGCATTGCATCTGGATGCCAGTGAGGTCCACGCCTTCCTGCCTCTTGCTTCTAAAGGGCAGCTTCTTCCGGCGCCGTCGGAGGACATAGGCAAAGAGGCCTGCAGCAACAAAGACTGCTAAAAAAAACAGAACCAGCAGGCTGAGAATCAACACAGAAAGTGGCACAGGACCCCCAGGGGGAGAGAACTCATAAGGTGATGCACTCGTCGGTCCCCCAGCAAGGTGAGCATCTCCGGGCTGAGCTGGGGATGCTCCAGCTGGTGCCATGTGCAGCATCTCTGGGCAGAGAACTTCCAGTTCAATAGTGCGCACATCACGGTGGGTGAGGTTCTCGGGGCTCCTGCATAGGACATCACCCACCACACTGACTGAGCTGATGGTTTCGATCCACTGTTTGAAAGGAACAAGGTCACAGGTACAGTCCCAAGGATTCTCATTGAGGTCTATCTGGACAATGGCATTCAAGTGTTCTAGGACACCAGCCACTGGAAGATAGAGGAAGTAGTTCTTTCTCAAGTTGAGCCGAGCCAGGGATGTGCCTGCAAAGGCATCTGTTGGCAGGGTCCTCAGCAAGTTATTGTTGAGGAATAGCAGCTTCAAGTTGGGCATGAGGCTGAAGGCTGCAGGCTGGATTTCCCGGATGACGTTGAACTCAAAGTACAAGTAGTGCAGACTCTGTAGGCCTCGGAACATTCCTGGAGTCAGCTTCTCGATGTCGTTGCCGTTGAGAAAGAGGCTCTTTAGGTTAGGCAGGTTGATGAAGGCCCCATCCTGGACATAAGAAATACGATTGTTCCCCAGATGTAAGAGATCCAAGGAAGAGAAATTCCAAAAATCAGAACGGTATATTTTCTGAATCAGATTGCTACTCAGGTACAGTTTCTTGGCATTCAGAGGCCTTGGAAGAAGTTCAGAAATGTTATTAAATCCTCGCTCTTTGCAGTTGACAGTCAAACCAAGGTCATTGATATGCAAATTACATGTACACCCAGTAGGGCATATAATGGGAATGGGTGGTCTGGTCTGATAAGGAGCAATAGGAGGTTGGTTTGGACCAGGGTATAAAGCTTGAGATGTGGACGGTGGCCTTGGTGTTCGAGGCTGTTTGGTGGGTTTGGGCTGTTTATTGGAGGACTTGTATTCAACAGAAGACGCAGTAAAATGGACAGAGGACAGCATCGAGGAAGGCTTAGTTGGCCATGCATTCTCCTTGTTTGATGACAAGTGGGGAATCCCCAAACTAGCCTCCACCTCAGAGTCAGACAACAAGGGACAGAGTTCTGTTTTCCTGATTTCTCGCAGGTCCTTTCCATGAAAATGGAAAGGAGTCTCGCAAGTGATATCTCCCACCAGGGCAGTGTAAGGAATGCGTTCCAGCCAACTCTTCAGTTGCACGATTTCACATGTACAGTTCCAGGGATTTTCTTCCAGCTGGAGCTCCATCAGGCTTCTGCCAATGTGGTCTAGCATTCCTCGGTAAAAAAGAACTTTCAACCTGTTTCCACGCAGGTCCAAGTGGGTTAAGGAGACAGCCTTAAATAAATTTGTCGGAAGCATGGGAATGAGATTATCATTTAAAATCAGAACTCTCAATTTACTTAGATTCCGAAATGCCCCACTTTCAATACGTTTAATGACATTGTAGTCTGCCTGAAGATATTCCAGACTTTCCAAGCCAAGGAAGGTGTCATTTCTGAAGACGTCTAGTTTGTTCTCGTGAAGATATAGTCTCTTTAAAATCTTAAGACCATTGAAAGCTCCTGTTTGAATGTCCTGCAATGCATTGTTCCCAAGGTTAATGGACACAGCATTATTCAAATGAAGAAAACTGTTGGTGTACAATTTCCTCATTGAATTTCTCTGCAGATACAATTTAAAAGGTCTTGACCAGAACTCAGTAATCTGACTAATATTTGTAAATCCTTTGCTGTCACAATGTATATGAAAGAGGCTTTCTTTAACTTCACAGTAGCATGGATCAAAACAGGGCTCATCTATTTCCTCTGAGTCCTCTATCAGGGGAATCGGGGTAGTCCATCCTAAAGCAATTGTGCTTAGAAGAATTATCCACAACATCCTCCCTCTGTGAAGCATCTCAGCTATAGAAGGTTTCATCATTCGCGGTTGATTACAAAACTGCAACAGAAATAAAGATGCAGATTTTTAGCTTTTCATCATATACACTACTCTAATTGACTCCTATATGTGGAGCTTTTTAAGAGTGATATAAAAACTTTAGTAATTGTTGAATTGACACTCAAAATGACCTATCAACATGCTTAATATGTCCTATATCTTAAAATTAGGAGACCGAAGTATTGTGCCATGCAATGACATTTTCTTGAATCAAGCCATATTTGGTGAAGGGTGTATCATTAAATCAAAAGCAGCCTTTGTTGTCTCTTGTAGCAAGCAAGAAAACTGGCATACAGTGATTCCTCTTAGGGATAGGCAGATTCAGTAAAAATGACAATTATTTGGCCATTACACTTGTTTGCCTGTTAAAACTCACATTGCTATCAGAGGTGCCTATTATGGATCTGATTGAAACTCTGATGGAAGAAAATGTTCTTTAAACTATGGGTTTCTGTTCATAAAAAGACATGGCATGCCCCAAAGTTATTAGATTAAAGAGTATGATAGATTATGAGTCCTTGGACCAACATCAGATGTTAAACTGTGTAAGATGATTGGTATCTCAGGAAAACCCAAGATTTCTCTTAAGAAGTGAGCACAATATGCTTAATTTTAGTGCATGCCCAGTAACTCACTGTACCCCAACCCCTTTTGCCCAAGCACAGATTATTAACATCTCGTTTAATTAAATGATTTCTACATATGTGTATCATTTGGCTGTTTAAATCCTTTAGGCGTGATTAGCCTTTCTAAAGAACAAGCCCATGCAGTTGTCAGAGCTAAAGATAGTGACAGCTAAAGGGTGTTGAGCCTAGGAGTGTCTGTACTAAAACACTTGCAGAGATTAGTTTGGAATGTATATCTGTTCCTTTAGGATCAACTGAGGAATCCTGCAAAAAGATGGAATGGAAGGTGGTTTGTAGAGGAGGTTTGGGTAAAGGCAAGAAATAATGGAAACCTGGATTCTTACATGCTGATAAATGATCTATCACATGAAATACATTTCAGAAAGATATTGCTCTTTTCCAATGAGAAGAAACAAATACAGTGCACTATTCTAATAATATGGAGCTTTTCTTTATGGCTCTCTTGGAGCCTAATATCCATATATGAAAATGTGTATATAAATAAATTATAATAATGCAGTTATATTAGATTGCCCTTCTAAGTCACTGAAATATCCATCAAAATTGAATTGTTTTTGATCAATAAAAATAAACCAGAGTTTTTAGTATGTATTTTCTTTCCACACAGATACATCCATTAAGGAAATATTTTGTCAACCTTCTAACTTAAAACACAATGATATAACTTATAGGGAGATTGAAAAGAATAAATCTCCACATTCAGCTTGCATATGATGCACACAGCTGTACGGAAAGGAGAATCCTTAAGAAAGCAAAGAGAAATCTGCCTCAGGCATGCAGTACTCAATTTTTGGAAACAATTAAATGAAAAAAGAAGGCAGATGAGGCTACACTGCAGTATCAGTTAGTCTTCTTTGTATCCCTTTTAAAATAGTAAAACCTACTTAAGTTCTTTCTTTTTTGCCATTCTTTTTTTTTTCTATGTTTTTCCTTGTTTTTGAGGTCCCTGAGATTTAAAGAAGAGCTCCAGATGGCTTTGACTTACCTATTTTGCAGGATTTTTTTTTTTTTTTAAAGCATTGATCATCGGGGGAGGGGGGGAGAAAAAAAAAAGGAAGAAGAAGCAGCTTGAGTTTAAGGATTCTCTCTTTCCCTCCCCCTTCCTTCCTTTAGCAGAAGCTGAAGCAAAGGGGGATAGTTGGGGGCGGGGGGGGGGGGAAGAGACTACAGAAAAAAAATAAAAGGCAGCAAGCTTGAGACGTGCTGGGAATGCAAGGGACCTTTCAATGGGTTTCTTTAGAATGCAGAACTGCCGCTTGGCACTCAGTAGAGAGAGAAGGGGCTGCTGCAGGCTTCCAGCTTCGCTGCCGCCGCCGCCGCCACCGTAGCTGCTCTCCCTGGGTACCGGCAGCACATCATTGGGCACTTGGAGGAAGGGCGGGAGGAAGGCAGGGAGGAGGGCAGGCTCAATCACCGTGCAGAATCGCGGACTTCTCTTGCGCTGGCTGCTGCTGCTGCTGCTTTTTTTTTTTTTAATGTGCTGTAACCCTGGATCCGGCTTTCCACGTCATGAAAATGAGCCCCGAGAAGGGGAACGCGCTTACCATGGGGTCGGGCGCGAGCACTAGGAAGCCGTGACTATACAGTTGTGTGTGTGTGTGTGTGTGTGTGTGTGTGTGTGTGTGTAAGGGAAGAGAAAAGAAGTGGAGGGGTCAAGATGACAAACTTGTCAATTTTTTTTTTTTTTTTAAATAAAGAGATCAACCAAGAGGAAACATGTCTTTGGTCGGGACTGGGTAACGGGTTGTTAGCATTTTTAAAAAAAATTTTTGATTTCTTAATTTGATTTCTCTGAAGAAAACCATTGCCTGACTAGTTTGCTCCTCTAGTTCCCAAATCTCCGCTCGCTAGTGTAGACAGTTTGAAAAGTAAGGCTGTCCTTTGGAATTATACTTTTCACAGCCCACACTTACTCCCAAAGACGGGGATAAAGGGAAATTCAGGTCTCCAAAGCAGTAGAGCTGAATCTAGCTGATTCTGCTTGGGTGTCCTGAGTGAGAGCTCAGGCAGCCTGAGAGACTTGGACCGAGTTTCTCCTGCATTTTGCTTCGATTTCTTTGCACCAAGAATCCTTCTGTTGTGCGGCAGTTCGGAGCCTTCGATTTCCCCTCGATTCAACAGTTCTGTTTCCACCTTTTAAAAACCAGAGACAAGCCAGTGCTCTGGAAGGATACGCAGACCACTTGGGTAACAATGACACATTTCACTTCTTCCACCAGGAAAGACCTCGCGGGGATAGGGGGCAGCATTTCAGGGTTTAGATTCTTTTTTTTTCCTTTCATTTCTTTGCCCCGCCTCTCCCCCCCCCCCGAACCCCCTCATATTTCTCCGTGGTATTTTCGGGAAGAGGATGGTAGAGAGTCCTGAGGGTGGGGTCGATTGAGGGAAGACGTTTCAGTGAAGAGGAGACACCAGATCAGAGCTCACAAGGATTCTCTAAGAAGAGTTTTTAAAGCCTCATCTGATGGTTTTACATCCTACCTGCTGGGACGAAAATGCACCTTAGTAGGGAAACTGGAGAGAGGCAAGTGTGCAGCAGAGTCTAGTTAGCGACAACTGTGCCTCGGGGATGTCGCCCCCGCCCCCGCGACACACGCGGATCCCGTCACCATCTCACAGGGAAGGGAAAGGCGCTATGGTCGCTACAGAGCTGGACTTGCCCAAGGGCTCAAAGTTAGCTAGCCCGTAGAGGTGAGCTTCACTTAAAGCACTTTTTTACGAGACCAGATGTATATGTTATTACCATTCTAAATACATATAAATAACAACAAAACCGTTACTTAAAAATCAGTCATAGGATAGTTGCATATTTTGCATTAGAAGTGACCGCACCTGTGTCCGCCACTCCACAGTGGCTGTTAGAGGCTAAGTAAGCAGGAGGGCCGGATTCTCTTAACGTTCCCCAACCTTAACATTTCCAGACCCACCCTATCTATCGGTCTCAGCCAAGAAGCTGAGCTCAGAACAGAGCAATCCCATCTCTTTCACCAGCTGCCCCCCCCACCAGCCCCCAACACCACCTTCTGTACCCAACGTGCAGAGATGGTGACTATTTCAGGAATCTTATCGGAACCCAAGATGCGATGGAATCGATGGTTAACCGGGAGGCTTCCCTGCGCTCCCAGTGACAGTAAATGGCTCTCCTCTGTAATCATTCTCTGTTCTGTCTTGAACTACATCCTCCTCCCCCCCCCCCCCCCCCCCGCCATCCCGCTCCAAGTTCTTGATTTGGGACATGTCTTAAAGGACATTTCACCATTTTCCTTTCCTTTATCTCGGTGCAGGGTATCTAAGCTATAGGAAGAGCTCCAAAAGTTAGGAGATGAAGGGCCCTGGAGCCCGGATTTCAACCGCTTCCTGCTGCGAGCGCCCAGCATCATTTGTTTGTCCACAGGGAGGACAAGAAGCCCTTTCTCCCCACAGTGCCCCCTCCCACCTCCCCCTCCCCTTTGCTGGATCTCCGAGCCCACTAATCTCTCCATATCTAAGATTAAATATTCCAATATGGAAGCAAAATGATCTTCCCTAGAACAAATAATTAAAATGCTGCATCATTCATTTTCTGAAAAGCCCTGATCCTTCCTGAGGTCCTTTTCTAATCTGTCGCCAGGCGAAACGCACAATGGGTCTGTTTAGAAATAGAAAATGATTAAAAAGCTCAAGCCATTTTCCTTCTATCCTTTACAGCACGAGCGATCCGCTGGGGGAGGGGCTCTTCGCTCTGCCACCTGGCCTATTTGTTGGAGTTACTTACGATTTACACCCCCAAGAAAAGGGGTCCGAGGGTATTTTAGTCTCCAGTAACACTCTTTCTATCATCGTCCTTACAGCTAAATGATCCGGTTCAAAGGTACAACCCTCTGGCACCTGTGAGCGTACAGAAGCCACGGCAGCCAAACTATATGCTCTACAAAGAACATCCTTACACGCGAGAACACTGGTTTCAATTAGGCAAAGTAGGAAAGGATGGCGGCGAGTACCTATCAGTGCAGAGCGCTCTCGATCTCCGAGGTTTACTCCAAGGGGCTTCCCAGCGAGAGCTGCAAACTCTCTGGGAGGCAGAATTATATCCATCATGCCGTAGCCTGCAGTTTCTCCTCCTCAGGCCACCAACTTTCAGAAAGGCCACCAAATCACGCTTGTAATCCTTTCAAGTGTTTCCACCTTTGAGACTCGCAGGGAAATGGTCGCTGCATACCAATGGGAGAGCCGGGCGCTCACCTAGCGCGGCAATGCCGGTGACAGACACTCAGGACCACAGCTCTGTATACCCTCGATGGCAGGCAGGCAGCG